TAGGCGCAGGTATGTATGTGTGGGTGTGCATGCAAGTGTTGGGGGTGGGGGTCAGGAAGGTGAGAAAACAGGCATATAGACGGATGTTAGACCCATTCCTACTTCAAACAGAGTCATTCTGCTTTTATCCATTTATATATTGAACTTTGGCTTCTGCTTTTGTTTGAAAAGAAATAAGCCAAAAAAAATTAAATTAAAAAAAAAAAAAGAGAAGAAATAAGCTCTCTGGGGGGCCTGGCGGGCTCAGTTGGTAGAACATGCGGCTCTTTTATTTTTATTTTTTTAAAAGATTTTATCCATTTATTCATGAGAGACACAGAGAGGCAGAGACAAGACATAGGCAGAGGGAGAAGCAGGATCCCTGTGGGGAACCTGATGTGGGACTCAATCTCAGGACCCCGGGATCCTGAGCTGATCAGGATGAGCTGAGCTGAAGGCAGACATTCAACCAGTGAGCCACCCAAGTGCCCAGAACATGTGACTCTTTTTTTTTAAAGACTTTATTTATTCATGAGAGACACAGAGAGAGAGAAAGAGAGGCAGAGACACAGGCAAAGGAAGAAGCAGGCTCCACGCAGGGAGCCTTATGTGGGACTTGATCCTGGGACACGGGGATCACACCCTGAGCTGAAGGCAGGTGCTTAACCACTGAACCACCTAGGCTTCCCAAAACATGTGACTCTTGATATTGGGGTGATGAGTTCAAGCCCCATGTAGAGCTTACTTAAAAAAACAATTTTGGGGATCCCTGGGTGGCTCAGCAGTTTAGTGCCTGCCTTCGGCCCAGGGCATGATCCTGGAGTCCCGGGATCACGTTCCACGTCGGGCTCCCTGCATGGAGCCTGCTTCTCCCTCTGCCTGTGTCTCTGCCTCTCTCTCTCATGAATAAATAAAGAAAATATTAAAATAAAAAAACAATTTTTAAAAACAATAAGATAAAATAAAATAAAATAGAATAAAATAAAATAAAAAAAGTTTCCAACCAAAATCAAATTTGGAAAGTGCTGGTCTGATCACACCCCTCCTTCCTCTTTTACAGGTGGGTAAACGAGGCCCAGAGAAGTAGAAGCACTTGCTCAAGATCACAGAATGAATGAGCAACAAGCCCAAGGACTATTCCCTGATGTTCAGCCCACTCTTCCTGATTTGGGCAGAGCTTTGCATCATTTCTTCTGTGAACAGGTGGCCAAGCACCTGGACGTCCTGAAGCTCATGGAAAAGCTCCAGGGATCATGGAGCTTTAATCCCATCATGTGAATCAGGAATCATTTTAGCTGCGGAAGATATGACTCCCCAGATGCACGCAGTAAAAATCACAATGCTGAGCACAAGTGCTCAGGGGAAAATCCCGACACAGAACACTAACCTGACTTTGAGTTTTTCAGTTGATATTATTGTCTGGAGGTGCTTTCTAGCAAACCTATAGCAACAGGCACCAAAGGTTTAGAAAAATTTATGGGGGCAAAACTGAAAAGGGAACTAATTCTGTCCATTAGTTTCATGGTGTCTGTTTATGTGTGTGAATATGAAAAAGATTAAGAGGATTATTTCTCATATGCTTTGATGCTGGAACAAATGCCTCCAGCCAATGGGGTCTTGGGGGGGGGGAGGAAGAACCATTGTTTTTCATCCTATAAAAATAAATTTTTATTTGTTCTCTGATTACAAAAATAATAGGTACACCCGAAGAAGTAAAACACTATAGAAATATGCACAACTTAGAGAGGGAAGGTGTTTCAATATTGTTCTCCCCCCAAGCAGACTCGTTAATACTGACTTGTTTTCAGACCTACTAAGTGAGTGCCAGGCACTGGGAGGGCAACAGTGAACAAACACAGATGTCATCTGTGATCTTGCGGGACTCATAGTTGAGTGCAGAAGAGATATGAAATCATCACACAACTGTAAAAATTCAATTGTGTTTTGCATTTAAAAGGAGACATATGAAGGCACGAAATTGGGAAAGAGACCTTGATGAGAAGGCTTGGGAAAGCTTTGTAGAAGGAGTCACAGTGGAGTTTGGGACCTGTTAAGTATGCGAAGATGGGAGGAAAGAGTGATCAAGGAAGAAGAAATGTCTGTGCAAAGGCCCTGTGGCAGGAGGGAGAAAAATCAGTGTTGTCAGAGTGACTGGCTCATGGAGAGGCAGCAGAGGCATCTGGGGGGGGGGGGTCTGTGAAGATCATGGCTGAGACTTTGTCCTAACAGTAAAGGAAGCCATACTCTTTTAAATAAAATTGAGTGTGACCAAATTTGCACCTGCTATCAATTCGTTCTCATCGTGTCTTGGTGCACGTGTGCATCCACTCATGCTTTGGCAGGGTGACTTGTGGAAGCGAAATATTTTACTGGCTCAGGTGGACAGCTTGATCTAGGGCCTCAAACAACAGCCCCAGTTTCTCTCCATCTCTCAGCCTTGTCCTCTGTCCCGCTGGCCATTTCCAGGCACCTACAGCCCCAGGTACTTACACACCCTCTTCCCACCTGCATCAGTGTGAAAAACAGGGCCTGCCGGTGGGTACCAACCCCTGAGCCAATCACCCATTAGAGGAATGCGATGCTCTGGTCAGTCCCAAGTCACGTGCCCCGGGGGGCGGGGCTCGGAAGCAAGCGTGCAAAGGAGCACCCAGGCCGGCAAGGACCACATCCCTGTGATCAAAGTCGGAGGAGGGTTATTTCTGGGATTAGGGGGTAGGATTGGCTGAGGGGGCACAGGGCATCTTCCGGGAGAGCTGGAAATGTTCTATATCTTGACTTGGGGGTACCTACCGGGGTGTGTATGTACCCAAGCACCTGTTGAATTGACACTTGAAGATGTACACACTTCACTGTAAGGTATCCCGACATTTTATGTATTTTATTTTTAAAAAGATTTTATTTATTTGAGAGAGAGTGAGCGTGCGCGAGAGCATGAGCGGGAGAAGAGGCAGAGAGAGAGAGAGAGAGAGAGGGAGAAGCAGACTTCCCGCTGATCAGGGAGCCTGATGTGGGGCTTGCTCGATCTGGAAATTCTGAGATCACGACCTGAGCCGAAGGCAGACGCTTCACCGACTGGGCCACCCAGGCGCCCCATATCCCAAGTTTTAAAAGTACCCGGTGGAGCACGCGGAAGAGGGTGTTCCTGGAGAAAAACAGGACACTGTTACCAAAAGAAGGGTGAACGGATGTTCCCTATATCAATATATACATATGTACAGATAACACATAGATGACTTTTAACATAGTGTGGCACCACAGTACCCCCTCTTATGTCATAGTTTTTGCTTGACGAATCTAGGGGGTCTTCCTACAATGACTACCACTTTATGCCATAGATTTCATTTCAGAAGACAGATGAGCTTAGCTCTTCAGCATTGCTTGCAGGAAGGGGCACCCCAGAATCTTGCTGGGGACCAGCGCCCTGAAACAACCCATTGCCTGCAGAGGGCTGGCACTTGCATGGTGGAAGACCTTAGGCTTTGCTTGCTAGTTGGCTTTGGCTCCCCAGAACTGGGCCCCTTTCTCTCCTCTGGGAGTGCTTGCCTCTCCCCTTGGACTCTCCTGTTTTGCCTCTCTCCAGTGTGCCCTGCTAAAGGGAGTACATTCTCACTTGTGCTAGGTTGGAAATGACTGGTAGCTTCTAGAGTGCCTCTTTGTGCAGCAAGACACCTGGTTTTCTCTTTACAGCTAGAACAGTGATACTGCTAAAAGAGGCTCTCCCAAAATACAGGGGAATGGTTGGAAATAGGACTCTGGCTCCAGGTACCGGGACTGAAGTCTCATCCTACTGTTGGCATCTTATGACCCTTGGGCCATGGGCATCTGTGGTCCCTTGGGCATCTTATGACCTCTCTGCACCTTGCTTTCTCCTTTTCTCTGGAGAGGATAGCAGCAGAGAGGGTTAGAGTGCCTGACACACAGTAGGAGCTTTATACGTGTTGGTTGCTACAGGATGGTGCTGCTGGCCGCCCTTGGGAGTGCGTGGGAAGTAGAAGGGGGTGTTCCCAGCTGGGGACAGAGGGGTCCCCTCTCCTCTGGTTCTGGCCCACCTTGGTGTCCTCTTTTTCAATCCTCTGTCTGGTTTCCTCTGCTTTTATTCTTTCTTCCTGGGGCATCTTCTCCTTGCAAGGAAGGGACTGCTTTGGGCTGTTCCCGGGGAGGCTGCAGGAGGCTGCCCTAGTGTGATGGCCTGAGGGCCTGAGCTCACGAGTACCTGAGGAGAGATGCCCCAGGTGTCCCCTCTGTTACCCTGTGGCCGGCCAGCTGTCCCCACTTCTGTTTCTGTTCTTCTGACTCAGGAGGCCCCCTGCCTGTCAGCATAACTGGTGAAGAGAACTCAGGCCTTGAAATCAGAGAGATGGGAGTTCAGACGTGGAAGGAAGGTGCTTCGCTTCTGAGGGGCTCTGTTTCCTTGGTGGGGAGAGGAGGCCCACACCGTGCCCGGCAGGGTTGGGGGCGTTAAATGAGTCACGTCTATGTGGCCGGCACACAGTAGGCCTTCACCTTTAGTGTGGGCTTGGTCTTTCTCTTCAGCCTGACTGATGAGATTTACTTGGCAGCCATGTTTGCGGTGTGTGGGCCAATTTACTGGGAGACAAGGTAGGGGGCGTATCCATTTGCTTGGGCTTTCAAACCAGACACCACGGGCTAGGTAGCTTAAACAACAGAAATTAATTTTCTCACCATTTTGGCAGGGTGGGTTTCTTCTGATCTCTCCGTGGCTTGCAGACGGCCGTCTTCACACATGGTCTTCCCTCTGTGCTTGTCTGCGTCCTGCCTGCCTCATGTAAGGCCCACCCAGTAGGGCCTCGTGTTACCTTGCCTGTCCCCTGAAAGACAGGTCTCCACATACAGTCACATTCCGATGTATGGGGGTTAGGACTTCAACAGATGAATTTTGCAGAGACGTACTGCCCACTACGGAGACCTTGGACCAAAGCAGCTCCTCTGTCCCTCCCTCAGCATCCTGTCTCCTTGCTCTAGGCCTTGGAGGGTTTTGAGCTTCCAGAGTTCCCTCTCTTGTGCTCGCTTGGGCAGCGCACACACTAAAATTGGAAAGGCACAGAGGAGATTGGCATGGCCCCTGCATAGGAATGACATGCAAATTCATGAAGTTTTCCATATTTAAAGACAAATTTCCCTCTCCAAGTGGGCTCATCGCTAGGGCAGAGGCTCCTCTTATTGGCTAGCTTGTAGGTAAGAGCAGAGCTTAGCCAAAGTCCCTGGGATGGGCAGCAGGGAGGACGGCGACCCAGGAAGGAAGGTCACTGGCCGGGGCGGGTGTCTGGCCGTTGCAGAAGCCACCCATGCTCCTGGGGTGGTAGCAGCACCCGGGCTGGTCCTGGGCTGATCCCGGGCCCAGCCATTTCCTATAGGGTCTCTGTAAACCTGACTGCCACATTGCAGGTTTCCAGATGCCAGTCCAATCCCCACTTGCTAGGCTGCCAGGCCTGGGTGTGGGGCATCGGGGAGGAGATGGGCAGACCGTATTTAGTGAGATGGGCAGACTGGCAGTCATCCCCACGGAGCAGGGTGGGATGGCATGAGTTTGAAGCTAATCTCATTAGCAGCCACATCCTGCATCTCCCGAGGCTCTTCCCCGCCCCCGCGGCCCACAGCTCAATGCCCACTCCTGGGCAGAAGGCAGACGAAGCATGAGCACAGCCCAGGGTTGGCACCGATCTCTGGACCTCAGAGACGCTGCCATGGCCATTCTTGCCATCCAGGACAGGTCCTGCAACTGACTCACTTTGTGCCGAGGGCAAGAAATTTGAGTCTCTGTGAAACCATTTCCTCTGGATGTGCAATGGGCCATACTACAGGATCCCATGACTAAAAAGGCCTCTATGGTGATTTCTGTGCTAGGAACGCATGTGTGCCAGCTTATGCTTCAGCTGAAGCACACAGTGCTTATTGCATGAGATGGGGCCTAGGGGTGAGGGTCAGGGCCAGGTGGAAACACTTCAGAGATTATTAGAATACTCTGGAACAGGAGGATTGACCAATACTCTTTGGGACAGAGGATACGGGGAGACAAAGCTACCCACCTGTGGGATTTGCAGCTCTCTGTTTTGTGTGGGAGCTGAAAAACTTAGGAATTTGCCCAGAGGTCTAATCATAGAATTTTAACCTACATTGATGCACATACACATCAAAATTTCCTTTTGAATGAAGTCGTGTATAAAAGAAAGTGCACAACCTCTTTTGATCATCAAATAAAAGGAGCAGAAAAAAAAATAAAAGGAGCAGAGTGATGCATCATGTTTTCCTTTTTACCTTGGCCACCAGGAAGCTCTGGGTAAGATCTAGGCCAGTTGTTATACCTTCTGGATCTCTGGTTTCTGACACAATTTCCCCCTCCTTTCTCTTAGTTCATATTTGTTACTTAAATTATGCACAAGCATTAAAATGAAAGGGGATATGACATATGCATGATTACTTGGTATGGAATTTGGCATACGGTAAGTATTGAGGTGTGTTTATCTATGGGCGGGAGTCATACTTCTGACATTTATACATAGGGACACAGAATGCCAACTTTCATGATCTGCAATCTTATTTTTTAAAAAAGATTTTATTTATTTATTCATGAAAGACGCAGAGAGACAGAGGCAGAGACACAGGCAGAGGGAGAAGCAGGCTCCATGCAGGGAGCCCGATGCGGAACTCGATCTCGGGACCCTGGCATCACGCCCTGAGCCGAAGGCAGATGCTCAACCACTGAGCCCCCAGGTGCCCCTTCTGTAATATGATTTTATTTAACAGCCCTTACTCTGTGCCAAGTGCTGCTGACGTGCTTTCCAAATATCAATTCAGGTGATCTTCAGGACAACTCTGGGAGATGCATACTGGTAACAGCCCCATTTTGCAGATGAGGAGACCGAAGGAGGTGAAAATGAGGCCACTCACCCAGAGTCACATGGTTATAACATGGCAAGCCAGGATCTGAATCCAGAGCCCACGCACCAGGTCTGTGCTTTGGGACTTTGCCACACTATCGGAGCCACCAGCCACATGTGGCTACCGAGCACCTGGCACGTGGCTTGTGTGACAGAGGAACTGAGTTAAATCAACTTTAAAATTTTGTGTGGCGACTGACGGCCGTGTCAGACAGTGCAGCTGTTGAGCATCACGCTTTGCTGCCTCTCCCCCATCCCTGATGTCGGCGGGGAGGCAAAATTTGGGGCAGCGGAGTGGAGTTGAGTACAGTCTGCTGTAAGACTCAAATGCCTGAACTCCTCCCCCTCCTTCTCTCCCTCGGTTTCCTTCTTTTTAATCATCATAGGTAATACTTTCTGAGCACTTGTGATTCTCACTTAATTCTCCCCCAAATCCTTGGATGTAGCTACTAAGAAACCTGTTTAACAGAAGAGAGGACTGGCTCTCAGAGAAATTAAGTGTCTTGTGCAGAATCGTGAAGCCGGTAAAGTGGCCGAGCCAGAATTTGCACCAAAGTCTAAATGTTTGTAAAGCAAATTTTTCTTTTTCTTTTTCTTTTCTTTCTTTTCTTTCTTTCTTTCTTTCTTTCTTTCTTTCTTTCTTTCTTTTTTTCCTTCTTTCTTTCTTTCTTCTTTCTTTCTTCTTCTTCCTTCCTTCCTTCCTTCCTTCCTTCCTTCCTTCCTTCCTCTCTTTCTTTCTTTCTTTCTTTCTTTCTTTCTTTCTTTCTTCTTTCTTTCTTTCTTCCTTCCTTTCTTTCTTTCTTTCTTCTTTCTTTCTTCTTCCTTCCTTCTTCCTTCCTTCCTTCCTTCCTTCTTTCCTTCTTCTTCTTCTTTCTTTCTTTCTTTCTTCTTTCTTTCTTTCTTTCTTTCTTTCTTTCTTTCTTCTTTCCTTCCTTCCTTCCTTCCTTCCTTCCTTCCTTCCTTTCCTTCCTTCCTTCCTTCCTTCCTTCTTTTTCTTTCTTTCTTTCTTTCTTTCTTTCTTTCTTTCTTTCTTTCTTCTCTACCTTTTTTATTTTTTTAATTTTTTTAATTTTTTTTATTTTTTGTTTTCAAAGTGTGTTTATTTAGGGGAAAACGTGATTATAGAAAAATACTTGAAATAATTTGCCAATGAGGTTGCAGATTCTAACAATAACCCACATTTTAGGTTTTTAAGTGTGTGGCTTCATAATTTAAACAAATCAAAAACTTTTTTAAACAAATTATATCGAAGAGTTATCAATATACTCTCTACCTTTTTTAAAAAGTAAAATGTGTTCCCTTCCAACTCCAAAGGTCACATGCCTATCAGTTTCCTCCAAAGTAGAGTTTCTGTTGTTATCTAACGTCAGCATTTCCAAAGGAAGGAGAGAGGAAGACAGAGGTGGTGAGCAGAGGCGGGTGAAGTGTTGGGTCAGCACAGGCGCAGAACAGCTGGTGGGGACATCATGCATCATGGGGAGGGCCTGGCGGGCCTCAAGAGACAGCCAGAGAGCCCACGTCTCTCTAGGTGGTGCCCTGGAGAGCCCAGGACCAGCCCCACCTCCACCCAGGGAGCTCTGCCCTCTGGGAGAAGAGTCAGAAAGGGACACCTTAGTTTCCTCATCTGTTCAATGGGGATGAGGAGGATTAACTAGGAGGGTGTCTGAGAACACACCTGGCGGATGGAACAGTGCTTGCCTTTCCCGCCCCCGAGCTGGTCTCTGGGGTAGGAGCTCCCGGGAGACCTCGCAGGGGAGAAGCAGCACGGTGCTGTCTCCACTGTGGGCGAAGGGGAGGACACCAGCTTGTTAGCTGAGGGGTCGGGGTGGGCGGCGGGGGCTGCTGCGCATGGCTGTCGGCTGAGATCACTGCCTCCTCTCTTCCAGCTGCCTGGGGATATTATGAAGTTGCAGAGACAGGAGAGGAAGCTCAAGCTTGGGGGCCTCTTTGGGGGGCTAGGGAGGGGAGCAGAGAAGGAGACGCTAATGAAAAAAACATTCCTCGTTCAAGGTGACTGAAAGGTTTCGAGGCTGCTTGGGTCAGGGTCTGGCTGTGGCTAAAAACAAGTCCCCCAGATGGGAAGGAGCCAGGCCTGGGACAGCTGCTGAGGGGGAGGCTGGTGTTGGCCCAGCTGACTGACCCTCTTAGGGCGGCTGACCTCCGAAGACCCCTGACTCTGAGGATAGACACCTGAGATGGGGCAGCTGTGAGGTCCTGGGCCAGAACATCTGGATGCACTAGGCTCGTCCTGCCTGTGGTCTTCCCCACCCCATCTTACCGCCTGTCTCTGGGCTATCCGTGGGCACCGGGAGGTGAAGGTGCTGCTGGAAAGTTTGCAGCCTGACCCAGAGATGACCCAGGCTGGGCCCGGCCTGAGAAACAGAAGAGCCTGTCAAGATGGGAAGCCCAAGATGGGTTTCTTGGGGGCAACTCCTAACTCAACTCCTGACTTGGCCACTAGATAATTTCTAGGCCAGCAGAGAGTATGCGATGTCTGACCAGCGTCTGAGTAAAGGCTCCTCTCATTAGAGAAAACCAGTTTTCCCAGACAGAGCTGGTCCTTGAAAATGGCCCGTGGGGTAGGCATTCTCATCTCACAGCTGGGGAGTTGAGGTTCAGAGAGGGGAGGACCTCCAACTAGCCAGGTGAGCGAGGGGCAGGGCTGGGACCAGATTTCAGATGCCAGGGTAATCAGGAGCACTTTGCGATGTCTGCTGCTTCTCCCCCACTTTCTTTTTTTTTTTTTATTTATGATAGTCACAGAGAGAGAGAGAGAGAGAGAGAGAGAGAGGCAGAGACACAGGCAGAGGGAGAAGCAGGCTCCATGCACCGGGAGCCTGACGTGGGATTCGATCCCAGGTCTCCAGGATCGCGCCCTGGGCCAAAGGCAGGTGCCAAACCGCTGCGCCACCCAGGGATCCCTCTCCCCCACTTTCTTCTGGTTGCTGCAAAAGTTCCAGAAGGCCTGAGCCTCGAGAGAGAGCCCCAGCCTGCCTGGAGTGCACCGTGCTGGGGCAGAGCAGAGGGGCGAGGAGTGCATGTGTTTTGTCCTCAGGCCACTTTGACAGAAGGCAAAGGTCCTATTGCTTAGAACGAAGGCCCAGGGGACACTGAAGGAGTAGATCAAAGCTGCGTGGAACCAAAAATAGGCCCCTCATCGTGTGCTGGGACCCCTGTTCCCTCCTCTGAGCCTGATTTCATCAGGACTGGCCTTGATCCCTCTAGACTG